GAAGAAGAAGAAGAAGAAGAAGAAGAAGAAGAAGAAGAAGAAGAAGAGAATGACCCAGTGATTGGATGGAGTTTGTTGTTTGGGGAACCTTTGAAAGAAAGTTTTAAAACCAAGTCTATGCCTTTAGTGACAATTTTCAAAAACATTTCGTTTTGGGGAACTGGATTGAGGAATTGTCACTTCTTTCTTTCTAAAGAAATTTATAATGCTGTTTTTACATCACTTGCATGTGGATTTGAATCGTACTACCTACAACTACCACAACCAACTCAAAGAGGAGGAATCAGCACTGTTTCCTACCCACGTGTATCGTTCTTTTACTCCCCAAAGAATCGAGAGTCCTTATTCCCTGGACAGTGTGTTCCTCTGTTCCTCTCCTGTGGTCCGAACCCGAGTTTGCCAGTGGGTCCCTTGTGTCACAAGCTTTAGCTTTCTCTAAGGCAGTTGGTTGCTTTTGTTCTCCTCTTTCCTCTCTAGTCCCCTGGGCGCTCTCCTGAGATAACCAATTCAGGATGAAAAGAGCAAGACAAAAGAGAAGCCCGAGACCCACTCTTCCAACATGGGAAAACCCATGAAAATCTTCACCTTTCAAATTTTCCAAGGACTGCACCCTCCGTAGACTTCTAATTTCCTACGGATTAACTACCTTAAAAATGTAAAAAATAAAGGCAAGCAGCAAAGTATAGAAGAAGCTACCTCCACACTGTTCGTGGAATACATGGCAGAATAAGCCCTTACCTCTCCAGCGTGAAGTCCACAGTTAGGAGCTAGGCTGAACTACTGTGAGATTGCTTGCCTGCCTGCCTGCCTCCCCCAACTACAGCCGAGCTTTCCGATTCCTTAATGACCCAGACTGAAGGCACACAAATGACTGTGATCAAGGCTGCCTTCTTCTTTCAGTGAAAGCCCAGGCAGGGGCTTTTTGCTGTGCTCTCCCGGGGAAAAGGGGAACGCTCTCAGTCGCCTCTTGGCAGCCTTGGAAGAAGTTGGTTAGGAAGAAAAGCGCTCGGAAGTTCAAAGTCAGGAGTCGGGGCGGAGCGGGGACTGCTTGGCTCGGCTGCCAGGATGGGAGCCCCTGTCTCCTGGGCGCTTTATCTCTTGAGGGCCCCCGGGGAAAAAGCAAGGCAGGGGCCTGGGTGAGCTCGAGCGCCTCACTTCGTTTCTTTTCACTCAGGCTCCTCGTTTTCCAGCCCCTGCTCTGGGCGCTTCTCCGGGGCTCCTTCTTGCTCCCGGACATTTATCTGGGCCCGGGGAGCGTGCACGTGACGTGCACTTACTCTCTTTTCCCACCCCCACCTCCACCTCCACCTCCAACCCGCGCCCTGGCCTCCTGCCCGCCTGCCCGCCTGCCCGTCCGCCCGCCAGCCTGCCAGCTTCCAGGAGCAAAGAGCTCACTCCCGCCTTCGCGGGGCTGGACCTCTTCTCTTAGCTTCCGACTGGTTGGGTTGGCTGTGGGCTAGCAGGAGGAAGCGTGGGAGGTCTGGAATTGGGGAGGGGTGGTCTGAGAGGAGAGGTGAGAGAAGAGAAGGGGGGGGAGGTGAGAAATGGGTCTATCTGGAAGAATTCTGCAGCTATAGGCTAGTCTTCCTTTGCGCCCCTCCCCTGGAAAGATGCGGCTCCGACTCGCACTGGGGCTGAAGCGGAATGAGTGGCCTCTAGGGGGATTGAGGAAGGAGACTCAATGGGCCAGACAGAATGGGAGTGGGAACAGAGAAAGACTGTTAAAAGAGGGAAAGTAGCCACTCTCTTCCTCTAGCTCGAACAGGAGTGCACTCCAGCCTCCTGCAACATGTTAACTCTGGAAAGCTGCCTAATGTGACTTCGTTGCACTCTGGTAACCTGCAGGGTGAATAGGAGAAGTGGACCAGGACAGTGAAGGTTGGACGAGGGGAGTTATGAGCCGGGCAATCCTTGGAATACATTATCTCCGAGGATTGAGGATTCAGACTCCTTCACAAGCTCCTCTGCCTTGACTCCCACCAGATCTCTAAACAGCGCTCCCCAAAATGCCTGAGCATGTACTTTAAAAAAAAAAAATCCAGCTATTGGGCGCTTGTGCGTGTGAATGTATAATAGAGTATGGAATCCTTTTTAAAACTATTTCATTGTTGCTCAGTTGACTGGTTAAAGCCCTAAACTCTAGAAAGAACATTGAATGGATAGATATTTGCATCTTTCCAATGGCAACCAATTTTCCCCTCCCCCACGCTGAGCACAGCACTTGAGATGCCAATGGAAAGCGCAACTGCCCAAAGTGCCCATGTCTTGTGTTGCTTCTAGAACCACATTAAAAAGATCCCAAAGAACCTTAAAGATTATCTAGTCCAAGGTCCTCATCTTACAGACTTCGAAAGCTGAGCACAACAAAGCCAGGAGCAAAAATTAAGTCCTTAGTTCATGATAAATAGGAACAAACAAGTCATTAGCTTGCATTTGATTCTTTGTAGTTTTTACCCTTTTTCTTCTATCTTCTTTATAGTCTTTATCTAGTTTTTATATTATCTTTGTAGTTTTAACTTTAACAATGTGAAAAATGCAACATGACTCTCTCCTGTAATACATTATGGGAGAATGAAATCTTTCATATATGTATATACACCACATATAATGGGAGGTAACTCTAAGACCACAAGTTGCCTAAAGAAGCTGCTGACCATGGGGTAGGGGTCTCTTCCTTGTATCAACGAAATCACTGGTCAAGCCTGTAACCCTACATATAATTTCACTGCCTATCATAGTCTTTGGTCTGATGGTAACTCCTTGGCGCACATTTTGGGTGTTAACTCTGGATTAAAGTATTTTCCTTTGTTGGAAATCCAGAAAGAAATCCAGAAAGAAATCCAGAAAAAGGAAGAAGTAAGTGGCCTGAGTCACTTTCTAAATAGTATCCTTTTTATCCTTTAGTAGGTCACCTTTTTTACCTCAAGTGCCTCCCGATCCACCCTCTTTTGCCTATCAGACCCAGAATCACCCTCCAACAACTCAAAACCTATAATAACCTTTGTTTCTTCTCAAAAATGAAGGGCCTAAGGTGAGACCTTTGAGTAGGGTGTAAGATATTAGGCTGGTATTTTCATAATAATAATGGTTATAATTTTAATTGCACTTCAAAATTTACAAAGCATTCTACATTTCTATTACTTGATCCTCACAACCCTGGGAGTTAATCAATACTTAAATTAATTCAGGCTATTCACTGTAAAGTCAAATCCTAAAACTGAAGCTAAAATACTTTGACCACATAATGAGAACAGGAGACTCATTGGAAAAGATTGTTGGGAAAGATTGAAGGCAAAAGGAAAAATGGACAGTAGAGGATGAGATGGATAGATAGTGTCATGGAAACAATGAACATGAACTTGGACAGATGTCAAGAGATAGTGTAGGATAGAAGGGCCTAGAGTGGTAAGGTCCACGGGCTCACAAAGAGTTGGACATGACTGAACAACAACATTATCCCCATTTTACAGATCCAGGAACTGAGGAAGACAGAAGCAAGGTGACTTACTTGCCTAGAGTCACTTAGCCAGTCAGGATCTGAGCCAGGACTAAAATCCTGTGCCACCTAACTGTACACATAATATAAACAAAATGATTCACATTTCTGTAGTACTTAAGGCTTACAAAGCATATTCATTAATTATGCTTCTTTAAGAATATGTCTTAAGTACGATGAAGCTCTGTGACATATTCATAGGCATTATTCTCATTGTACAAATGAGGGTATTTTGCAAACAGTCATAGAAAAGTTAAGCAACCTACAGAGTAATATACAGCTTTGTCTACTTCCAAAAGCATTGCTATTTCCACTGTTATGAGCTAGGACAGAGGTGGGGAACCTGAGTTCTTGAATTGTGAATTCACACAATTCACAATTCGCAAATAAAGTTTGGATTCATTCAAAAGGCTGCATTTGAGGACTTAGAGGGCCACATGTTGCCTTGAGGCTGCACCTCTGAGCTAGGGATTGTGCTCACATGGAGTTGCTTGTACTTTAAAGATATTTTTACATCTTTATGCACACACCACTTCACTAGATTGGGTATATTGGCTCTGCTTCCCTGTCTCCCTTCAGAGACCTTATCTTGGAGGTATAGTGAGTATAGAATATTGAATATAGTGGTATTATGGCATTTCAAAAATTAAACATAAAAGTGGAAATAAAGAAAAAGAGATAGAGTGATAAGGCAAGCATTTATTAAATATTTATTATACGCCAGGCACTGTGCTAAGCACTAGGGAAACAAATGCAACCTAGCAAGATGGACTGTACCCTCAAAGAGCACATGTGCTAATGAGAGGAGACCCATAAAGAG